TAGAAATCATTGTCAAACCAACAAGAAGTCTCAATTAAAACCAAAAGCAGTTTAAAACAAAAGATAAAAACTTATCTCAAATCCTCCACAAAACTCTTGAAGTTCCTTTGAATCTCTTCTTTTTTACAACACTCTCAAAATAAACTAAAAACAAAAAGGATAAAGTAAATTTGTGGTACCTGAAAATCTCTCCAAAACTCTCTCCTTTCCAAAACTTTTCAGAACTTTCAAGCACACTTCAAAAAGTCTTAACTTCCTTCTTTTATAAATCTTCAAGAGGTGTCTTGATAACTCTTCAAAATGTGTCTCAATTTGATGTATTCTCCAAAGGATGCATCCTTTCATAAGTTTTTTAATAATATTTTCATTTCTAGTGGTCATAACCACCCTCTTTAGCCAAAATGTGCTTTAATAGCTCTCGAAATTTCAGTAAAATGAAGAAAACCACCAAATAATTGCTTCTGACACTTAAGTGCGGGGCCTCTGGCGCTTAGACGCGGCCTTCTCTGTTTAACCGGCGCTTAAGCGCCGAATCTAGCGCTTAGACGCCAAAACACTTTAGCACAATTTTCACCTCTTTGCTTCAAATTTAATCTTTTTCACTCCTTTTAGCATTTTTCATCTTTTTACTTGTACCTGAAAGAAAAACACACAAATACCTCCCATTAAAGTGCAATATCTCAAAAATAGGTATAAAAATGCGTCTAAAAATACTATATATTTTAGGTGTATCAAACTCCCTTAAGGAAGTGATGACAAATGCAGGTAAGGTTTTGAACCAATGAAAGCGTTATAATTTAAACAACATAAAGAATAAATGATAATTTTGGACATCATTTACCCTTAATAGTTGAGTAGCTAAGTCAAAAGAATATACATAATCAATAGGATCTGAATTCCCATTATAAGATTCCAGAGAAGGAGCCTTGAACTTCTTTGGTGCCCCTGCTTTTGCATTCTCTCTTGAGAATGTGTTTTTCTTCTTTATCTTTCATTTAAGTATTTAAAAGGTGCTTGATGTGGGACGTAAGATTCATCTCTTTGTTCTTCTTCTTTTCAAGCCTAAGATCAAGGACCCATTTAGGTCCTTTTTTTAGTAGGTCCTACCAAGATGGCTACTACCTAGCCTTGACACTTCTCATCTGCGAACAATCAACTTTAATAATTTTGTATGTGTCTTAGGATGAGCCCTAGAACAAGGTCTGGATGCTTCTTGTCTTGAATCTTGTATAGCTTTCAGGACTTGTTGCCTTAACTCATTGATCAGTTATGTCACAAACTCTCTGGTGAATTTTATCATTTTTATTTCTTCTTTCATATACTAGCAGAATCCTCTTACTGAGTTTAAGCATGACCTCTATGCTCACCATACCTTTTATGATTTTGAATCCTTTTAGGATATAGGGATTCATATTGTTTGTAAGTTGTCACAACTTGGTAAAGACTTTGTTTTCACGAGAAATGTATGAAAGAAGATGATGAATGTATTGTTAAAGCTTGTGTTTCTCACACTATATTCTCTTAAGATAGTCTGGAGGTCAAGAAAGGCTCAAAGAAGAGGTCTTTTCTTCCCAGTAATGAGACAGAGAGGGAGAGAGTGAGAGAGATGTAGAGGTAGAGATATAGTCAAGTTTAGAGAGAGTGAGAACAAGAGGCCCTGTAGTCGTGAGTCCTTTTTTGAGATCTCAAAGGTTGGTCCCCTAAGAGCCCCTCTGAACTCCCTCTTATACATGGATGAAAATAAATATAAATTTACATTTCGTACAAAACTAAACATTTTCGCAATGTCTTCATGAAAAGATTACGACACGGATGTCAGATAGTGATGTAATTATGGATGGATGCATGTCCTTGTGTATAATGATGATCTTCTTCAACAGCCAATTCGTACCAGGCTAAATCGACCACTTCGGGTAGTGAGCTCAGTTTGATCACTTCGGTAAGCGACCTTAGCTTGACCACTTTAGTAGATGGGATGACCTGATCCTCAGATATAGGCCTTTGAAGCCCACAAAATCTATTAATTCTTAGTTATATTGTGCCCCTAATTTTTTTTTTGTTTTTAAATGTATATGATCATATTTGGTTATAGAGAGTGTAAGAAAATTTGATAGCCTTCTTTCAACACTGTTTTCATGAAATTTATTTTTTAAATGACACTTAAAAAATTCTCTTCAAATAACCTAATATAACATTAAAAAAAATCCTAATATCATGATAATTTTTAATAGCATGCTATTTTAATAATAACTTTGAAATGATGTTCATTTCTATCTAAATATTTTAATTCGACATCACGAATAAGTGTCCGAATATATAATGATTGGTGTAGACGTCTAAAATAGCCTTTATAATAATTTAATTTTTATGCTCTTTATTGCATAAGTGTCCGTTGATAAAAATCAGTAATTCTTTTGTATTTACATATATACCATCTAAAATTTCATATTTTTATATGCAACACTCAAACATCACATCAAAGATATAAAAATATTAACTTCTTAGAAATGAAATACACATTTCCTGCATAAGCTTAACATTAAGTGGTGATAGATATGTAAATACATAAGAATTAGGTGGTATGCATGCAAATTTCTTTTTTTCATTTTCAATATACAACTTTAAAGTGCTATTTTTTAATTCTTAATGATCCTAAATTTTATTAAGCACGAAATTATATAACTTGTTGACTAGAGCAACCATGCACATGAGCTTGATAAATTCAAGGAGCTCACCATAAGTTCTTCACGAGCCCAATTGGGGAGTTCATTTCGAACTACTTATCATTTCATGATTTATTTTCTAATCTATTTTTTGAAATTTTGGTAATCTTTGAATTGTAGTGTGGTTGGAACTAGAGAATAGAGAGCGAATTATCAAGATTCTCCAATGCATGATAATCGATCCCTCTTTCAGTAATGACTGCTCTTATTTATAAGTGGGTAAATTTATGTCAAGAGAGATGTTTTATCTATTTTTATTGATACTTTTTAGCGTGGGCATTATACGAATTTTCTTAATTTTTGATTCCTTTGAGAATGTGCAATCCGTTTAATGTTGCGACAAATAAGCGACTTCATTCGATCAGAGCTAGGGGGTATCATATTAGATTCAATATGCTTACTCTTTCAGGTGTATTTCTCATAGAGACGACCTTTTTAGCGTGGGCATTATACGAATTTTCTTAATTATTGATTCCTTTAAGAATGTGCAACCCGTTTAATGTTGCGACAAATAAGCGACTTTGTTCAATTAGAGCTAGGGGGGTATCATATTAGATTCAATATACTTACTCTTTCAGGTGTATTCTCATAGAGACGATGAAATCGCCTTAACTACTTCTTATCAATCAGCTTT